TGCGCAAGCACGGCCGCGTTCGTCATCCCGACAAACGCAAACTTGATTGACAGATTGAGCCACTGTTGCCGCACGCGCGCCCGCCGAACGGACTGGACAACCAGGCGCGGACTGGCTGGACTGGACAGGAGACGACGGCACGCTGGAGAGAGATAATAAAATCGGAAGAAAGCCCAGCCAGCAAAAGCAGGCGGGTGACTGCCATCCATCGATCGGGAGCTCAGCAGTAAGTACAGCGGGTGCCGGAGAGGTTGCTGCGTGGTCTGCACGGGCGAGTCACGTCGGCGTCAAAGGAGCGACGTGCGACCTGTCAGAGCTTGATCTCCGATCTCAGGACTCAGCGGCGTCGAGTCGTCTCCGGCGGCGACAATTTGGTACCTCCCCAGGACGCGCAGAGGCAGCTGAGACCCCGCCGAGTGGACGGGCGCACACCGCGCCACCTGCCGAGTGCCCCCGTCTATTCAGCGGGGACGCAGCTGCCTCTGGAAGGCGCCGAGAGGTACCAAATGGCGCAAATGACCAAAATCAAGATTGTGTAACGCGGGCTGTGCCACTGAGCACTGTGAAATGGAAGGCACACCGGTGCTGTGTGCGAGAAAGAATCGGTCGGGACATTGTGAAGAGAGATGGGAGAAGAACATTTGCCTCCGGGCACGGCCACCTCTAGCAATCCGTTCTCACCACTCCTGCACTTGCTGCTCACACCGCGAATATTGCCGCAAACCGGCGAGTGGGAGACTATTGAGAGTGACCATCACCGCCGCTGCGGCTGCGAAACGCAGGTGCCATGCCTACCGCGAAGATTGCACTGTCCGCTATGGGCGCGTGGGGGTTGTTCATCGGCACGATGCTGACGACCTTCCCCGCCAACATCCTCGGCGCGTACGGCATCGACTTCTTTGAGTGCCCGGCAAAGCAGCCTCGCGGCGCTCCGGTCTGCGACGAGGTCAAGCAGAAATCGGTCGCCTACAACATGTTCGCCATCGCGGGGATCCAAGCCATCTTCACTGCTGCGCTATGCATCAACTTCGCCCGCGAGGGTGTCTCGCAAAAGGCGCAGTGGCACTCCAAGCCCTGTATAGCGCAGCCACAAGCGCTCTCCCTCACACGCCGCTCGGAAGCACCCGCCTCCCAGGCAGCAGGCTCGCTCCGTCCTGTGCTTCATGGCGATCCCGGCACATGCGTGGTTCGTGGTCAGCGAGATCATGATCCTGCCC